GATATTATTTACTTCCTTTTGAATAACCAAGTGGCGTTATGTAAAATTAAGGTGCATTTTATGTGATAAATAAACGCGAACAAAAAGAAGTTTATTTTTACTTTTTTAAATTATATCCTATATTTAGCGTTAGGTAGCAATGACTAAACCACCAATTAAATATGGAATTTACACTCCGTTACAATCTTCTGTTACGAATATGATCGTACGACATACAACCCTAATTTAATCAAGCTCCATTATCTTATAAAATGTTTGTTTCAATTGAATTTTTGAAAGATTTCTTTTTTTTTCTTTTCTTTTTTTTTATATATATATATAAATTTGTTTAGTAATTTTATTATGATACATCAATAATTTAATGTATAATAATTTAACGTATAATAATTTTACGTATAATAATTTTTTTTTAAAAAAAATAATTTTTATATAAATCGGTTTCAATTTTAATTCATCGATTTATCCTTTTTTTTTTTTTTCCTCGACTAATAAAGATGGGAAACTGCTGTAGTAGTAGCAATCCGGTAAATTATTTTATGTGATAATCATGATTTATAAACATCACGCGATTAATTCATGTATAAATTCTTATTGTAAAATACTTTACTAAATTAATTAACTATTGTTCTATTTTATCACACGTTTTTTTCTTCTCTTCGTTTTAGAGTAATAACAAAGGCGCTATATATCAGCAACCTTCCACATATACACAACAATACTATTATCCACAATCCACATATACTCAACGACAACCTTCTCCACCCTTACCACCCTTACCGATATCTGCACAGATCCCTATTAACAATTATCCACCCATACAACAAGCTCCTACATACAATGTTCCAATACCTAGAGTAACCTCATATATAAACGATAATCCTCAGCAAGGTGGTTCTGGTGGTTATTATTCGCAAAATCCTATTTTTGGACAACCATATTCTCCACCAAATTATGACCCCCCAAAAGAAGCAGCAAACTATGATCGTAGTGATGCTGCTTCCATAGTCTCGGTTGCCTTTTCAATTAATGACGAAACCACTACCGAGAGTCATTGTTTTAACTGTACTAGTAAAGTTGTAGATTGTGATCTCGACGGATATCCCGGCGAATATTGTAGTGATCAATGTCGAAAAGACGCTTCCTTAGCCGGGTTTGCCAACCCTGTTTGCATTCTATGTAAAGAATATCCTCAAGTTTCCAACTCAAAGTTTTGTGGCAAAAAACGCTGTAGGAATTTACCAAAATGTTATTTATGTAAAGTAAGTAAAATGACAAAATATCGTGTTTCACTTGATTTGACACTTATATCCATTGTTTTTTTTAACGAATAGGTTAAAGATGTTCATAAAGGGTCATTATGGTGCTCGAAATCGTGTAGGGATAGAACACCTAATTGGCAAAGTTTAACCGTAGAAAGGGCCAATTATATGTGTTTGGTTTGTGGTAAAGAGTTTGCGTTAAAAGGAAGAGAATTTTGTCGTGATGATTGTGAGCGGTGGGCCAAAACCAATGGTAAATTTATCACATTTCAGATCGATTGTTCCAATATGTAATATATCAATTAACGAATTATATTTTGTTTAGTGCCATGTCTATTTAAACTTCCGGTCAATGCAGAAAAATATAAGGATGTACTTAACCAATTTAAAATGGCATGGAGGCATCCACACAAACGAGTTCCACAAGTTCATTCGATATGGAAAATATATTGCAATGATATATTGAATAACAAATATAATACTTATAAGGCGGAAGTTGAAAGGATGCACCAATTAGAAGGCAAACCTTTTCCCAAAGGGGAAGGTCAACGTACGATGAGTGTTGGAAATGAACAACGTAGATTTCATGGAACTAAAATGTGCGTATTTTTTTTTTTATTTATTTAAAATAAAAAAATTTAAAGATAAAAGTTTTAAAATTGTCTTTTTCTTCTATGTAGGAAATGTCAAGTTGGATTACAGAACAACAAAATTTGTAGTGATAAACAATGTTCAGTGTGCGCTATAATAAGGGAAGGATATAAATTAAAATATGTTGGCACAGGCACAATAAGTGCGGCATTTCAAAGGTTTGGAAGTGGAATTTATTTTTCTGGAACATCATCAAAATCAGATGATTATAATGAAGGGTCATTAGTAAATTATTTAGGAGTGAATTATAAAGTAATGTTACTGAACAAAATAGTCGTAGGAAAAGGATACGCATTAACCAAAGATGCTATGACTTTAACAAGTCCTCCTGTTGGATTTGATAGTGTACTTGGCGAACCAAGTACTTCCGGGAATCTGAATTATGATGAAGTTGTGGTTTACAAAGAAGAAGCTTCTATCCCACAATATTTGATAGTTTATGAAACTTTATAACAAATGGCAGATTTAATTTAATATTATTTAAAGTGTATTTTTTAGATTTAGACACCTGTTTATTTTTCTTTTAATTTGTCATATTAATAACGTGTAAAATATAGTAAATATGTTGTTAATTAATACATTTCATGACTAATCAGCGAAAAATTTAAATATTCATATAGTGCGAAAAATCTTTATTGTAAGGAATTAATTTGTGATGCTTTCACGTGATATATATGGATCAAATATATTCGATCCATCCGGTCTTTAGCGATCTGGGTGAAATTGGATCTTTAAAATCAATATTTATAGCGGTCTTAGGATCGATTTAAACTCAATATCTAATAATTTTTTAGTAATCGCATTAAAAAAAAAATTATTTATTTAATAATTAAATGTTGGAATTTTATCTCGTGATTATGTGGCGCAAAAAGTTTCTATGATATTATACTGTATATATATAGAAAAACCTTATTCGACAAATACCCACCAAAAAGCGACGAAAGTAACACCAAAAATTACCGAATCGACATATCCTTACTACAATCGGAAATTAACTAAATAAAAACAATTTTTTCTTAAATTTGTACGACCACAATCACTCCACAAAATTTATTAATAGTAGTTGATTGCGTAAATAGTAACGAATTCAGTATTAGCCTCAATAGCAATCGGATTGGGTATAAAAAAAATATATAAATCTTTTAACCGAAAAACATTATTTCAATATTATTTTGATTTAAAAAGTTCCCAACTTTCTAATAATGCAAAATCAAGGTTATAGTAGTCTACCACCTCCTATTCCTATTCGACCGGGAGAGACAACATACGGGAGTTGTATGGAAAATCATTGCGACTGTTCTTCCATCGTTCATAATGAAACGGATCCAGAAAGATGCTTGAATTGTAGCCACGATAAAGTAATGCACACAAATTTGCAAATTGAGAAATTATCATTAAATGATAACATAAATCACATGAATTACGGGCGTTGTACGGATTTTAATTGCGACTGTCTAGACATGATCCCGGGTGAACACAATCCTTTAATCTGCTGTCGATGTAATCATGATCACTTAAAACATGCAATTTTACCATCAAATGATAATGGAAACCAATTACGATACGGGAAATGTATGGCTTGCGATTGCATTTGCATGATTTTGAATGATCGCGATCCAACGAAATGCTACATTTGTACACATGATCGCGAAATTCACTTAAATTATGGTAACGTAAACTTTTTACTTTTCAATTTGTCTTTCAGTTCTCTTAATAAATATATATAAATATATATTCCCAATCATTTTCATTGATGGTATTAAGCAAATCTAACTCCTTTTCATTGACAAAATTTTTAGATAATCAAACGGATTGCAACATTAACATGTATAGTCTACCTCCGTTACCTCCTCAAGGTTTGCATAAGGAATCTAAATTAAGTTTTAATTTATGGCATTAACTAATCATGTTTTTTCATGTAGTTCGAGAACAACCACCACCAAATACCATATGGTTTTATAATAGATATGATCCATATTATGAATTCACAAATTTCCAACAAGGATTTCCAATAAAAGCAATAATTCCATTTCCTCAATCAGCAGCGCTAGAAGTTAAACGTTGGCCAACAAGTGAACATCTTTTTCAGGCGGCAAAATTTCAACATTATAAAGAAATTGCTGATAGAATACGCCAATGTGCTACAGCTAGAGATGCATTAAATTTGGCACGATTGTATCAAGCTTATACGGATCCAAATTGGCAATCAATAAATGTCAAAGTAATGGAATGGGTTGTAAGATGTAAATTTGAACAACATCGTTTCCTTGCAAGGCGTTTATTGGAAACGGGAGATAAACGATTGGTAGAACACACAGAAGTTGATAAATTTTGGGGTGATGGCGGTGATGGATCAGGAAAGAACATGCTTGGAGAGATTTTAATGCGCGTTAGACAACATTTAAAAGATACTCAATCATATCACGAGAATAATGGTTATAATCCATCGATAGAAAATAATCTAATATATCCTATGTCATATCAATATGCATTACCATCATCACAAGGTTTTCATTGGAATGGTACTAATCATCATAATAAAACTAATAATAGAAATATTGAACAAGGAGAAGGGTTGTTTCAACAACCGCCAATACAAGAAGGTCAATCGGATCCACCACCACCACCATTACCTCCACGTAATAGAATAAGAAATATACAGTTGATTAAGCAACAGCATCAAGAATTACCTCAATTACCATCATCACAAACTGCAAATCATCAACAACAACGTGAGGCAGCAAATATTGCCCAAGGTTATCATCAACAACAAGTTCGTCACAATAGTCATGCTCAGTACAATGAACCCCATCATATGTAAAATATATTTAATTCTTATATATTCGTTATATATATATATATACATTATACTGTATATATATTTTAATGATTTTTAAATAATAATTTCCTAATAATGGTATGCAAGTAAATATAATTCTCATTAAAAAAAAAACAAATTATATTTATATTTATTTATGCAAATAATTCTCATTTGTTTCATTACACAATAATAATAATAATAAACTGTATTCTTTAATATTAAATTTTGAAATAATGAGATTAATGACAATAAATAAATAAATAAATTAATTAATTATTTTTTGATCTGGTAACAACTTGAGCTTTACAAAGGACTCTTTTACTTTGATCTTTAGAGCTCTTTACACTAATCAATGGAAAACTACAAATTTCCACTTCCAAATTATCAATTAAATCATCATCCCAAGCACCATCCATAACATTATTTTGTACAGGAGTTCCTGCCTCAAAGAAATCTTTAAAGTCAGGAACAGGTTCTTGAGCATTTAATCTGAAATATAAATGTACAATTTCTCTAATTAATTTAATAGTATGTTCTTTTAAATCAGCCAAACGTTCTTCATTTTTTATTTGACGATAACGAGAAAGCGTGTCGAGGATTTTTGTCGTGAGTTGATCGATAAATGGATGATTATTTTTACAAAAACCTCTTGTACCCAACACGGCATAAATTTGTTGACGAATTTTTATTGGAGTGATTTTTGTGATGTCATCGGTTCCTGTACGTGCTTCAGCTAAATGGTTAACCAAACCAACTAATTGGGTCATTGATAAATAAATTTCCGCCTCTAAATTATTATTTTGATCTATCACAACTGGTTGCGGATAACTTTTTGGAACAATTAAGGAGGAAGAACGTTTTGGAGAATCTTTTTTAATATTAGCAAAAACTGCATGAGCTTGTGTTTGAGCGTCAGGTTGAGAATTAATTGGTGATGATGGTGGTTGCTGTTGCTGCTGCTGCTGTTGTTGTGGTTGTGGTGGTGGTGGTTGCTGCTGCTGCTGTTGTGGTTGCGGTTGTGGTTGGGATTGAGATTGTAGCTGTGGTTGTGTTTGTGTTTGTGTTTGCGAAAGTTGTGATGGTTGTCTTAAATGTTGTGGTTTAGGCTTTGATCTTGGGTCCGAATGATTTAAATAATTAGCTAATTCATGAAATAAAGTTTCTACGATTAATCTTTGCAAGGCAGCGGCCAATATCGGTTTCCAACTTTTGACACTAATCCTAGTTGAACAATTGTACTTTTGAAATAATTCATTCGCGGCATCATCATCAATCGTAATATCTCTCCCTTTTACTGTAGTAACTTCCGTAAGTGAATTAACGATTTCTGTAATAACTTTTGTTAATTGTACAAGATTATTACTATCCTCATCTCCCCACCTTACATTTGTGGCTTTACCAAGTGCACTCTGATACATCGAAGCTTCTGCCTTTGATTCTACCAATTGTTTCTTTAAATTTGACACTTCTACTTCCGAATCTTGCGCTCTCTGTTGCAAACGCTTTTTCTCTGTTTCGAATTTCCCTTGAATTTCATCGTACCTTAATTGCAAATCATGTCTTTGATTAATTAAAGTTCCTTTTTCTTGATCAACTTGTTCAAACAATTGTTTATATTTTGAAGCTAAACTTTGTATACGTTGGACGCTGTTAAAATCTAAATTTTCGGGAGGAATTTGAAGTAATTCATTGTCTTCTTTGGATTTTTGTCGACTTGAATCACTAGAATGTGCTTGTCCTATTATTAATGATAATTTTAAAATTGAAATTCTGAGTTTTAATTATTTATTTTTCGAGCAGACGTGACGTACCTTTGTATCGTTTTCTTGTAGGAATTGGAGGTGCGTTACTATCAATTTCTTGAGTAGCTTGAGTTTTTCTACCAGCTGAATTTGGAGGATCAGGCATAGTTCATTTAAAGTTAAGTTATCTTATATAATAATTACGTTAAAAACTTTACTATTATGCAAAAATGACCTAAAAGAAAAAAAAACCGTTCTCACATTATCACAATTGAAATCACATTATTTTCTAATTTATATCACTTGTGAATGATTGGAGGAAAAAAAATTTGTAATTTTTTATTTCATCTCATTGTTTATTTTCTAAATTTGTTAATAGATTTACAATAGGGAAATTAACTCCGTGTGCGCCCCTATAGATACGTTTGTTCGTATATTATTCGTATATTATTCGATTCCTTTTTCAGATTCTCATTCGTTTACTCGAGAAACCATGAATTCCTTTTAAAGGAATTTGCCTGGGAGTGTTAAACACAAACAGATGTGATTATAAAGTAAATGAATAGGAAAACTAGATCACAGGTTAAATGGGTTAATTGATTACACGAATTATTTATGAAAATGAAGGCCAAAAATAGATCCGGCTAAAAAAAAAAAAACCTCTTTTTCAGCACAAATTTGTTATCTGATCGATAGTTTCATCCGTTGTAACACATTAACTGTTTTTTGAGATAAAAGACCTATCAAAGTGTAATGATTTTAGGATGAAACTTGGTAAATGTGTTAAATGTGGAAGTCATTGAAAAGGATTGTGATACGATACATTTTTTAATGATATCTAAATTTTTTTTTTTATGAATTCGTCAAAAAGGTGATTCTTTTCGCTTTTATTTTTTTTTTTTTTTAAAAAAAAAGGATAAATAAAAAAAAAAAAAAATTTTTTAAAAAAAAAGAATATCATTAAATAGATTCTTAATATAAAAACTTTTTTTTTCCTGTTCAATAATAAAAGTTAAGAAAACTACACACAGGGGTTATAAAAACTATTAATAAATTTTTGCAGCTCATTTAACGGTAGGTGCTCGAAATATGAAAGGCAAAGGTTTTTTATTATAGTTGCACTACTTAAAATAAAAATTTTTTTGGAATCTGTTAAAAACCTTTTTTTTTTTGTTTGTTAAACAACTTTCTAGTTTTCTTGTCTTCTTATATTTCCTTTTAAAAGAACAAATATTTTTTGAGGATTTGTGGAAAGCAAAATTTAAACAGTAATATAAACTTTTAATAAAAAACTTTTGAACCTTTTAATTCTTTTTTTTTTTTTTTTTAGTAAAATATATTAACAAATCTTTAATTCTTTATTCCATTTTTTTTTTTTTTCATTAACAACTATTTACTCCAAAGAGAGAAGAAATTTTTAATTTAACAACTCGGTCATATATATATAAGCGATAACAAGCCAATGAATACGGCAAGAGATATTCGAGTTGTTGTATCGATTGGTATGTTTTCGATGTGACGTTAATCATGGCGTATTTTGTTATTCTCTTATACTAATCATTTACTACGCTCATTAACTTTCTAGATTTTGGTACAACATTCTCAGGTATAAAATTTCACATTTTAATTGCCTTTATCAATCAGAATTGATGCTAGAAAATAATTTTGTTTGGGATTTTAATTAGGATTTGCATATTCAAACAAGATCAATCCAGAAATCATCACCAACGACACAGTAAGTTCAACTTTAAAAATTTGAAATTAAAAAACAGAATCCTCTAGATTTATTTATTAATTTACCTTTTTGAAAAAAAAAAAATAATAATAATATATATATATATATTTTGTAGTGGTAAGAAATTTTAAAAATTTCAAGTCATTTCTAGATTCCTTTCGACAGAATTGGAAATTTAGAGTACGAGGTTTTAGCAAAGTGGATATATTAAAATGATATCATATTTAAATAATAGGCCAGAACAAACAGGGGTTTTCAAAACCAATACGGTATTAGCGTATGATGATAATTTACAATTGGTAGCATGGGGATATCCTGCTTTGGCTCAAGAACCACCAAAGAAAAAGCGCCTTCAAAATAAACCACGAACCAAACCAGTGGAATTGTTTAAATTACATTTGGCGAATGTAAGAGAAGATGAAAAGCCTTCGCTTCCTCATGGGTTAGATCCTAGAAGAGCAATCACTGATTATCTACATGAAATGAATAAAGTAAGATCATTTTACTTTTACTAGGCGATTAGAAAAGGAGGTCACTTATAGGAAATGTGCTAATTTTGTATGAATTCATTTTATTTAGTTAATTGTGGAAACACTTAACTCTCGATGGCCGGGTATAAGGTATCCTCAACAAGTACGATTCGTATTATCGGTACCTTCAGAATGGTAATTATTATGTTTCTCAAAAATTTCCTTTATCACCTTATCATATGATCTTTTCATAATTACCCTGGAGTTTTTTCCCTTTGATAGGCATCACGATGCCAAAGCCATTATGAGAGAATGTATGTTCAACGCGGGCTACTTGGAAACTAGACAATCTGAAAATTTGGAATTCACAACGGAACGTATGTTAAAAACACTATATAATATTTACGAATCGAAAATTTTAAAATAATTAATCATAATTTTAAGTATAACTTTTTTTTTTTTTCAGCCGAAGCAGCTGCTGTATATTGTATGAAGAGTTTAACTGAACATCACTTAACCGTTGGAGGTAAATATATCTGTAATTTTCAATTTATGCGCGCACGCATATATATCCATTTCATAATACCAACCTTTTTTTTATCACGCGTTAGCATCATTTATGATTGTTGACTGTGGTGGTGGTACAGTAGATTTAACAACCAGAACTTTATTGCCTGGAATGAAATTGAGTGAAATTACCGAACGTAGTGGAGACTTATGTGGTAGTTCTTATGTAGATCGAGAATTTTTAAGGTTCCTCGGGAGGAAATTAGGATACGCAGCAATGAAAAAATTAAAAGAAAATCATTACGGGCAAATGCAATATTTAGTACAACAGTTTTGTTCACGAGTGAAATTTGCATTTAATGGAAATCCAAATGAATACGCCACAAAAGAATTGGATATTGAAAGAGTGTGTCCAGCATTAATGGATTATGTGACAGGACACGCAAGAGAAGTAATGGAAGAAGCCGAATGGTTGATTGAATTAGACTTCTTGAATGTAAAAGAAATGTTTGATCCCGTCGTTAATAAGATTATTGAATTGATTACAAGACAATTGGCGTCAACCGAACGAAGATGTAGCGCAATGTTTTTGGTGGGCGGGTTTAGTGAATCTTTATATTTACAATCACAAATCCGAAGACAATTTATGAATCAAGTATCGATCATCGCTGTACCAAAACATCCGATTGCTGCAATTGAAAGAGGTGCTTTGGAATACGGGTTGAACATGGAAATTGTACAAACACGTGTGTTAAAATTCTGTTACGGAGTTGAAGTTAGTGCTAAATGGGAAAAGGGTGATCCACCGGAACGTAGAACTCCTTCAGGACGTATATTTAAATTCCATCGATTGGCATTAAGAGGCGTTGAAGTTGCAGTGGATCAGAAATTTTATTACACAGCTGGTCCTGTAGTTCCAAATCAAACCGATATGACTTTTAATATCTTTATTACACCGGATAATAATTCCAAATATTGTGACGAAGATGGTATGAAAATGTTGGGAAAAATGAAAATAGATTTACCTGACCCCCAACGTGGTAAAAATAGGCTAGTTGAATTCACTTTAACTTTTGGTACTATGGAAGTTAAAGCTACCGCCATCAACAAGAGAACCGGTCAAATTTATGAAAGCAGCTTTATTTTGGAATTCTAATATAATAATAGATGCTAAGTGAAAGTTAAAATCGGAAAAAAAAAAAATTTCAATGATTAGATTATAAATACATATTTTTTATTCATATATATATATATATTTGTTATTTATAAATATAATAATTATTATTATTTATTGTGAATTATACTTTTTTTTTTTTTTTTTTTTTTTTTTTTTTTTGTTGAATTATAATTTTAAACTTGTTAATTTAGGATTATAAACGAAAGTATTGTATAATCATTAGTGTATGCCTGATTTTTTTAAAAAAAAAAAAATCTAAATTTCATTTACCCTTTTTTTTAAAACATTTTATTTACATTCATTTTATTGCATTATTAATATGATTTCTTTTTTTTTTTTTTTTTTTTTTTTTTTTTTTTTTTTTTATTTTTTTTTTTTTTTTTTTTTTTTTTTATATTTTTTTATTTTAATTTTTTTATAAAATAAATGTTCTTTTATATATTAAAAGATCCAATAGTTGTCTGTATTTCACCTGCTAACGAGAAAAGTTCTAGAGTCTTTTTAAAGATAGAAGCGAAGTAATGATTTTATAATTATAACTTTCCGTGTTTGTCATGGAACGTGGAACTTATCCAGGATATGCAGGACAGGATAGGGAATTCCTTTGATGTCCGGGAAAAAATTTAATAAGTCATGTAAGGATATTCTCAACAACTAATAATTCAAATTTGATGAATATAGCTCGTTTGAATCGTCATTTCCTAGCTTTGATATTGGTTAATTTAAAGTTTTTAGTCGTTTTATTATAACATATTATTGAAATAAAAGTTTTTTTTTTCAGACCAAAAGTTTAAGATGTTTGATTGGTAACATCTTGGTTAATAGAACTTGTAATAATTTTAAAAATTATTAGTTATATATAATTGAAGTATCATATTACATTATTTTCAGATTTAGAAATAATTTGTTATTTTGGGCTTGTAATGGTTTAATAACATTATATTTTAATTCATATACAGTGGCATTCAAAAGTATTCCTAAATACATGGCATTTAAGAAGGCGCAGTGTCATATAAATTATTTATTAGACTTATCTATTCAATAGTATGAAAATCATTGTCTTTATCTATTTCATACTATATAATGTGTTTTAATAGTCTTTCTTAAAATTAATAATATAAATTACTATTTATATATCTATAAATTCAGCATATATTATCAATCCCATCAGGTGTAAATATCTTCATACCATAATATTATTCCATTCAAATTTAAATATAAGTTTAACATAATAGTCTCTTAATAGTTTTCTTGACTTTTTTCAATAATACTCTTTA